GTCGTGCGGCCCTTGCTCGCCCGGTCCAGCGCCGCCTGGACGACGCCCTCCGACTGCAGGTCAAGCGCCGAGGTGGCTTCATCAAGCAGGAGGATTCGAGGTTTGGAGATCAGCGCTCGAGCGATGGCAATCCTAAGGTGAAAAAGAGAGTTAACTTTAGCTTCATTTTCAGGTTTTATAAAACTTTCGCTTACCGCTGCTTCTGACCACCCGACAGCTGAGCACCGCGGTCACCCACGTAGGTGTTGTAGCCATCCTGCAGGCCGCTGATAAAGTCATGGGCATTTGCTTCCACGCTCGCCTGGACGACGTCCTCGTGGGTGATGGAGGCCATCAACTCCACGGGCGCCCCCAAGCGAATGTTCTCCTCGATGGAGGCGTCAAAGAGAATGGGCTCCTGGCCGACGACGCCGATCTGCTGGCGGAGCCAGCCGACGTTCAGCTTGCGCAGGTTGACGCCGTCCAGCAGCACCTCACCGGCGCCTGGCTCGTAGAAGCGTTGAATCAGCTGAATGATGGTGCTCTTGCCGCAGCCGCTGGAGCCGACCAGCGCCACCGTCTCGCCCGCCTTGATGCTCAGGTGTAGGCCGTTGAGGATGCTCACGTCGGAGCGGGTGGGATAGGCAAAGTGGACGTTCCGCAGGTCGATGTTGGTGTGAAAGTTGGCGCCCAGGGCGCTGCCCGTCTCAGCGGCCGAGTCGATCAACGACCGTCGCTCGATGACGTCGTAGATGGAGCGAGCGGCAATGCGGCCCGTCTGAAACGATTCCAGGTAGGGGCTGGCGTAGCCGACGTGCGTGCCCGCGGTGATGATCGACCAGAAGACGACGACGACGTTCTCCAGATCGTAGTCCTCGGTGATGATCAGCTTGACGCCGTACCAGATGCCCAGGCCGATGCTGCTGTACAGCGTCAGCCAGTTCATGCTGGTGCCGATGCCGGTGAAGAGGTTTCGCTTGTAGGCGTTCTTCATTGCCGGCTTCAGCAGGCGCTCGTAGCGTCCGCGTTCCTTGGCCTGCCCGCCAAAGGCGAAGACGGTTCGAATGGCGCTGATGGCCTCCTCCGCCACTGAGCTGGCAATTGAGTAGGCCTGCAGTTCTCGCTGCATGTACCGGGATTGAAGCTAAAATGGTTTGGAATTCATTAAATTCTAGAAATTAACAGTATTTTTTAGTTCACCACTTACCCAAGTCATACCAAAAGAGGAGACGGCAATGATGGGCGACATGGCGATGATCACCAGTGAGAGCTTCCAGCCAAAAACAAGCCCGATGACCACATTTTGCAGTGAACAGGAGATGTTGTAGATCAGCAGGCCTAGATTTTCATTGATGCCTGATTCAAACTTTTTAAAGTCACTGTAAACAAACAAATAAAGATCAAAACAGATGATGAAACAGCTGTTGATGCTTTTTAAAAGTAAACAAGCTACAATACCTTGAAATTCGTGAGGCAAACTCGCCGGAGTTCTGCGTGTCAAACCAGGCAATCTCCTGCTTGAGAATGGAGGCAAAGTACCTCTTCTTGATCTCCCGCATCAGTCGCAGTGCAAACATCTGAAAACAGTGAATGGCGGTGTAATTGCCGATGATGTAGAGCACCGTGATGGCCGCCATGATGCCGCCGTAGAGGTACGTCTCCGCGCG